TATTTCAGTGTAACTATGATCCCTTAGTCAGAAGTCTGTGCATAAGGAATTGTTGGCTGATCTCAACAATTTTGTTTGAGGGATCTTAACAAACAGTCCAGTCTTTCATACAAGTGTACTGCCAACACCAGAGAAAGCAGAGAGACTGGGAATAATTGTTCCTTCTCTTTGCTCCCTTTCCCCCTTTACTGTGCTGAACCCAGGGCAATTTTACATAGACCCCCAAATACCATCCCTAAGAAGAAATGTCTAATTGTGTAAACAGCAGCCAGACTGGTGGACTGCATTCCTCTCTTAGCCACAGCCATGCTGCCTTGTGCTCTCCACACAGCCCACACTTGAGGACATCTGTTTCAAGAAGCAAATGCTTAAAAATTTACAAAAGTTATAGGGCGAAAGAACACCCCTGTAACAGGAAAAGGAAAGTGTGGCTTTGTTCTGTCCTCTTCTGTAAGACTCTTTAGAGGGAGGTTTGGTCCCCGCCACGGTGACTCAGTGAGTGAAAGTGCTTGCTGCCACTGATTTAACCTGAGTTCAATCTCAATCCTCCATTTGGAAGTAAAGAACTGACCTTTGTAAGTTGTCTTCTGAGCTCCACAGTGTGTCCTCTGGCACATGTGTGTGCACACATGCGTCCACGCACACCCACATGTGAAAAAAATAAATAAAACTTCAGTAAAAGCTTAAAAGTACAAGATGACATATTGTGTGAAAATTCCTTCAACTACTAAAGAATGGGACAGTAGATTGGCACAACCTTTCCAATGAGAAAGACACTAGTCCTTTAAAGGAAGGGGCTGGGGACTCTCACACAGAGACATTCAATTTTAAGACTTTATGCAAAGGAAACTGATGTGGGATTCCCCTCTATATGCTATGAGTGTTTTATTATCATTGGTTAATAAAGAAGCTGTTATGGCCAACGGCTTAGCAGAGTAAAGTCAGGCAGGAAATCCAAACAGAGATATATAAAGAGAGTATTCAGAGTCAGAGAGATATCATGTAGCTGCTGAAGGAGATTGACGGCCCAGAACCTTTCCAGTAGGCTGGCCCAGAACCTTTCCAGTAGGCCACAGCCTCATGGTAAATTATAAATAGAAATGGGTTAATTTAAGATGTAAGAGCTAGTTAATAAGAAGCCTGAGCCAGTAGACCAAATAGTGTTGTAATTAATGTAATTAATACAGTTTCTATGTGATTATTTGGGCCTGAGCAGTTGGGAAATGAATGAGCAATTGCCGATTACAGAAAACAATTATGAGCAAGCTCAAAATTAAGCATAATGTATTCGTCTCAGCATGATGTCCACTGAAAGAAGAAAAGAAACACATCTCAAGCTCCATTGCTGGAATTCACAGTGGAAGGAGAGAACTAACTCCTGTTGGAGCCTTCCTCTTCCTCCACCATGTGTTTAGGGATTTAAGATGCAGGACATCAAGCTGGTGCCACAAGGGCTTTGCCTCACTGCACCACCTGGCCAGCCCAGCACTGTCTTTATAAGGAGAACAGCCTCATTCCGCATAGCTTCAGGTTTAACCTGAAGTAATGAGGGAATGAAGACACCGCAGACACAAGGACACATGGACAGAAAAGCTAGTGGGTTGTCCTTGCCCTAGTGAAGGACACCAATTGCAGCTGGGATGTCTGCTTGTTTATTTCATCCATCTAATTCAAGGAGGCAGGCTCATGGCACACAGCTGAGCGAGGAGGAAGGTTCAGGTTTCTGGCTAGGACTGTAGGGAGCAGTCTCAGGCTGTAGCCATCCTGAAGGAGGAAGCTGTGGTGGATAGTCAACGTTCGCCCTTGAGCCAGAGGAAGACATCCTTGGGGCTGAGTCTTTGGGGTCTTTAACATTGCTTTATCTGTGTCAAAAATAAATATTCACTCAGCGCTTCAATCTACTCTCCAGAGAGAACAACAATTTATCTTTAAAAATGAATGTTAGAGCTAGTTTATAGATCAAATTCAGAGTGTTTGCCTCACAAGCATGAGGCCTTAGATATGATCTTCAAAAGCACACACACACACACACACACACACACACACACACAATTCTTTTATTATACCACCATTTATTCATTGAAAGTTCAATTGTAGTCTGACTATGGTGGCGCATGCCTTTAATCCCTTCACTCGGGAGGCAGAGGCTGGAAGATCTCTATGAGTTCAAGGTTAGTCTGGTCTACAGAACTAGTTGCAGAACAGCCAGGGCTGTTCCACAGAGAAACCCCATCCTGGAAGGGGAGGGGAGAAAGTTCAGTTGTTTTCTATTCTAACAGTTAAATAATAGAAGTTTATCTGAAAGAACTAGATGGCTAGTAGAACTAGACCAGAATTCCGAGTGCCCACATCAAGCACCCTGTAATTCCTGTTCCAAAGAAGTCAACATGCTTTTTGAGCCTCCACTACACCTGTACACACATGGTAGACATACACCCACCAAACAAATAAACAATAAATAAATAAATAATAAAACAATAAAGTATTTTTTAAAAAATCACACCAGATAGCTTACAAATAGGAATAAATGTATGTACTTTTCATAGTAGAGACATGGGGTCTACTGCAAAAGCCTGAAACATGGGCGTATATCCACGAATTATGTTAGTCACTCAAAACATAAAAAAAAAAGTAGTAAAAAAGGGTCAGGTAGTGATTCTAAAACAAAGCAAGAAGTAGTCCTGTGGAATAATAGTCAAGTGACTTCATTAATCAATCAGATATGCCATAAATATTGGCTATTTCCTGGTGAGATATAATTGCTCTCACTCAGGGTTACAATTTCTTGAAACATCGCCAGACACATAAACCACTGTCCTCGCTAGTCCAGCTCTGAATCTGGAGTCGGTTTTTTAACATTCTTGCATAGACAAGGCCTGGTGTAGGCCTCGCACTTAGGAGACTACTCTGGTAGTATTCAGGTACTGCTAACAGGTCATTATAAGAGATGGCCCCTTATCTAAAAGAACCATGCTATTTACAGAGAAGAAATAATTAGAAACAAATATTAAATATAAAACCTTGACACAGTGGTTCTAAACCTGTGGGTCATAACTCCCCGGGCACATATCAGATATCCTGCATATTAGATACTTACACTGTGATTCATAACAGTAGCAAAATTACAATTATAGTAGTACCAAAATAATTTCAAGGATGGGGAGGTCACCACAACATGAAGAACTGTATTAAAGGATTGCACTATTAGAAAGGGTGAGAACCATTGCATTAGCAGTAAAATTGCTTGTCACTGCCAAGCCTCATGACCCACGTTTGATTCCCGGGACCCACATTGTAGAAAGAAAGAACTAACTACCACAAGTTGTTCTTTGACCTCCACATGTGCACTATTCACACACACACACACACACACACACACACACACACACACAAAACAAACAAACAAACAAATGTAATTTAAAAAATGAAATACATAATTAAGGCACTGAATTGATGAAGAGATGGCAACAATGGCCTTATAGTGTTTCCTTCTAAATAATTTTTTATTTATAATGGGAAAAGGAATAACTTGGCGGTAATCAAAATAGCATAGTGGACATTACTTTATTTAATAGGTATGGTCAAAATCACTTCTACTAAGATCTTCTGTTGTGTTCCTGACCGGATATGCTGAAAAGGGCACCCTACCTCTGGGGGTTTTTTCCCATTACTTTATAATTAATCACCAAACGTAAAACAAATCAAAAAGACAAAACACTCCACACAAGTAAAGTTGAGGATTTTGTAAAAATGCTTGACTGATTCTCATCAAGAATATTGTGTACAACTGAGCTGGGGCTCAGTGGTAGAGCTGGATTAGACGGGCATGCCCGAGGACCTGGAGTCCACCTCAGCAGTGGGAGATAACGTAAGAAGAATGTTGCCAATGATAAAAACCAACTCAGGGGCTATCCCTAGAAGGAGGAGGCAGGGAGACATGAACTAAACACGATGTGGATCACTATGTTGGTCCCAGAAATAAAAAAAAAAGGACACTAGGGTAAAACTGGTAAGGTGTGGATAGTCAAGTATGTGGTTAATTTTACTGTACCAATGTTAATTTCCTACTTTTGAACATGGCACTATGGTCATGAATGATGCTTATGTTAGAAGACACTAACAAATACTACAGAAAATTTGGTCCTAACTGCAGATTTTCTCTGAGTGTAAAATTATTTCAAAATAAAAAAGCTTTAAAAAAACTAGATAAACAAAGCATGCAAATAAAACCTCTGGGTCCCATGTCTATAAAGGAATCTGCTTTTCCTACATTTTTAGATTCTTCTTCTGTCTGTCTACACTGGAAATTCTTAGCCCCCAAATCATCACATGCTTTTGTCACCTCATTTAAGAAATAAACAAACACACTAGGTTTTCAAAACACTCTCAGACCCTCTTTCTAAGTATTTAGTTATATAGTGTCTGGAAATGCAAGGAACAGAAGTATTCTTAAGTTCCATGGCTGAAAGCAATGACCACAGACAAGACTCACAGGGCCGGACCTGGGCTAGCATTGTCAGGACAGACACACAGCTTATGACTGAGCAAGCTAAGGGGCTTGAGAACTCTGTATCCCTACAGCAAGGTGACTGCCTGGAGTGTTGTGAGGGAATGGACCTTATACTATGAGGTTAGGAAAATAACCACTCATAATATATCAAACTGAAGTGTCTTTGTGGCTGTGAGATCCAAACTTATGCTACCCACACAATAAGACAAGAAATCCATGGAAAACTACGTTAGAGTAGGTTAAAAATGGGTGAGCAGTTAGACGAGAAAACTCTCTGTAGAGATGCTTTGATCATACTCTCATGAATGGAAATCCCTTTGAATATTGGTTTACTATAAAAAAAAATGAAAAGAATAAACTCATCAGGAACCCACAAAAATCAGTATCTTAAAGACCAGAGATGATGAAACAATCTAAATACATGATAAAGTAAGTACGCTTACTTTGTGTGAAAAGAGTAATGCAGGCTCTCTGCTCCTCCCTGTTCTAGAGATAGCCGCTTCTTTTCGCGCAGTGCCAGCCTTGTTCCAGAGACACGATGGTGAAGGTCGGAGTGAACGGATTTGGCCGTATTGGACGCCTGGTTACCAGGGCTGCCTTCACTTCTGGCAAAGTGGACGTTGTTGCCATCAATGACCCCTTCATCGACCTCAACTACATGGTCTACATGTTCCAGTATGACTCCACCCATGGCAAGTTCAAAGGCACAGTTAAGGCTGAGAATGGGAAGCTTGTCATCAACGGGAAGGCCATCACCATCTTCCAGGAGCGAGATCCCGCCAACATCAAATGGGGTGATGCCGGTGCCGAGTATGTTGTGGAATTGACCGGTGTCTTCACCACCATGGAGAAGGCTGGGGCCCATTTGAAGGGTGGGGCCAAAAGGGTCATCATCTCCGCCCCTTCTGCGGATGCCCCCATGTTTGTGATGGGTGTGAACCATGACAAGTATGACAATTCCCTCAAGACTGTCAGCAATGCTTCCTGCACCGCCAACTGCTTAGCCCCCTTGGCCAAGGTCATCCATGACAACTTTGGCATCGTGGAAGGACTCATGACCACAGTCCATGCCATCATGGCCACCCAGAAGACTGTGGACGGCCCCTCTGGGAAGCTGTGGCGAGACGGCCGTGGCGCTGCCCAGAACATCATCCCTGCATCCACTGGCGCTGCCAAGGCTGTGGGCAAAGTCATCCCAGAGCTGAACGGGAAGCTCACGGGCATGGCCTTCCGGGTTCCTACCCCCAACGTGTCCGTCGTGGATCTGACATGCCGCCTGGAGAAAGCTGCCAAGTATGACGACATCAAGAAGGTGGTGAAGCAGGCATCCGAGGGTCCTGAGGACCAGGTTGTCTCCTGCGACTTTAACAGTGACTCCCACTCTTCCACCTTTGATGCTGGGGCTGGCATTGCTCTCAATGACAACTTTGTAAAGCTCATTTCCTGGTACGACAATGAGTTCGGCTACAGCAACAGAGTGGTGGACCTCATGGCCTACATGGCCTCCAAGGAGTAAGAAGCCCGCCCTGGACCACCCACCCCAGCAAGGACACAGCAAGAGAGAAGCCCTCAGCTGCTGAGCAGTCCCTGTCCTAACTCAACCCTTGACACTGAGCTCTCCCTCACAGTTTCCATCCCAGACCCCCAGATAGCAGGAGGGGCTTAGGGAGCCCCACTCTCTTGAATACCATCAATAAAGTTCACTGCATCCCCTCTTCAAAAAAAAAAAAGAGTAATGCAAACATACTTCAAGAATAAGCCAATAAGAAACTATCAGGAAAAAACTTGGGAATTTTTAATTTTTAAAATATTTATTTATTTAGCATTGTGTGTGTGTGTGGAGACACACACATGCTGTGGTATGGCACATGTAAGGGCCAGAGGACAGCTTACTGGCAGTAATTGGTTGTTCCTTCCACCTTATAGGTCAGATCATCACAACTGGCAGCAAGCACCTTGTCTTGGTTAGGATTTTCATTACTGTGAAAACCAGAACCACAGAAACTCTTAAAGGAAAACATTTAATTGAGGTACTGGCTTACAGTTTCAGAAATTCAATCCATTATCATGATAGAGAGCCTGGCGGTGTACAGGCAGACGTGGTGCTGGAGCCAAGAGTCCTACATTTTGACCAGAAAACAACAAGAAGTTACTGACTGTAACACCGAGTGAAGCTTGAGTAAGGAGACCTCAGAGCCCACCTGACAGTGACACACTTCCTCCATCAAGCCCATACTTACTCCAATAAGGTGACGTCTCCTAATAATTCCGTTCTCTTTGAAGGCCATTTTCTTTCAAACCACCATATTTCACTACCTGGCCCCCAAAGACATTGCATTTAGTCCAATTTCGAAAGATCCTATAGTTGATAACAGTTCCAACTTGTTTCAAAGTCCAAAGTCTTCTGGTAATTTCTTAACTATAATCCCTCTATAAAAATCAAAATTAAAAAGCAGATTACACACTTCCAACACCTAGTGACATAGGATATACACTACTATTCCAAAACACGGAGAGGGAAGCATAGTGAGGAAGTATTGGACAAAAGCAAGACTGAAAACCAGCTAGATACTGCCAAACTCTGCATCTCCTTGTCTGATGTGAAAACACTCCTCAGATCTCCAACTCCACCAGGTTTGACTGCAGCACACTTCTCTCTCTTGGGCTGGTTCCACTCCTGTTAGCAGCTCTCCTCGGCAGGTGTCTCACAAGTCTGACATCTCTAACATCTTGTCAATCCAGGTTTCAACTTCACAGCTTCATAAATGGCCTTCCTACTAGGTCTCCATTCAGGGACACTCCTGACACATGTCTGGCCTCAGCAGCTTTATTACATAACTCCTTTCTTCTATCTTTAACTCTAAACCCAGAATCACGTTATCAAAACTGCCAAGTTCTTCTGCTGACCTGGGGCTGGAACAGGACCCCTTCATTCAAATACATCTTCACTAGCTTTCTGCCTTTCACTGCCTAAGCTTGGCTGTCCTGAAACTTGCTCTGTAGACCAGGCTGGCCTTAAATTCAGATCTGCCGGTGTCTGCCTTCCCGGTGTTGCAATTAAAGGTGTACCTCAGAACACGAGGCTTTAAGACTTTCTTTAGTTCCTTTCCACAGGATGGAAACTCACCTGGGCAAAACCTTGCCCTGAGGTCACCACTCCCTTTTTTAATCCATTTATCTCCTTGAACACAGAATTTAGATTTATTTCACTTTTAGGTGCTCTTTTTCTCCTCAATTTACTTTTTGTAATTTACCCTGCTCAGCTTGTTCCTTTTCATTATAAATCTTCATTTGAGTTACCACTAATATCTACATGACAGAGTCTATACTAGGCTGTTTTGAGACTTATTCTTCCAACAGAATTAATCCAAAACTCTTCACTTTAGCCTCAGGGAGACTCTTTGGACAAAGGCAAAGACAGCCACTTCCTTCACCAAAATATCACAAAAATGATTTCTAAACATACTAAAATTCTTCTCTGAAACTTCTTGAGCCAGTTCCTGACGTGTCAGGTGCTTATCAGCACCCCTGCCTTCCATGCCCCTACTGGCATGGTCCGTGAAGCAGAGTTAAAACATTCCACTGCTTTCCTAACTTAAAGTACCAAGGTCCATATTACTCCAAACAAAAGCATTGTTAGGCTTATCATAGAAATACCCCACTCCTGATACAACTTCTGTCTTAGGATTTTTTATTGCTGTGAAGAGACACCATGACCACAGCAACTCTTAACAAGAAAACATTTAATTGGGGTGGTGGTTTACAATTTCAAAGGTTTAGTTCATTGTCATGATAACACGGAGCATGTTGGCTTGCAGATGTGGTGCTGGCTACATCTTGTCCAGAAAGCAGCAGAAAGTTGACTGACTGCCACACTGAGTGAATCTTGAGAAAAGAGACTTCAAAGCCTGCCCCCACAGTGACACAATTCCTCCAACAAGACCACACCTCCTAATTGTGCCTCTCCCTTTGGGGGTCATTTTCTTTCAATCCACTACACACCTTTGTTGCCGAGCCATCATTTTAAAACAGCATGTAGTCACTGGTATTAAAGCTTCAGTAGAATCATGAGACACAACTGAGAGCAAGTATTCAATACAAGAAAACATATAAGGGAATCACTAAGGAGAAAGTGAGAAAGAAGGTTCAAGAGACTCAGAAAAACATTTTTGAAAAGCGTTTTAAGAATCATGGAAACTAAGAAGCTATGACCATCTAGTGCCTGCTATGAAAGGATGCAGACCTGCATTGAATCCTCAGAATCCACACAAGAAAGCTGGCAGTGCTTGTAATCCCAGAGCTGGGCAGGAGCAGGCAGGCAAGCGCTGGGTTCTGCTGGCCCACAAGCTTCACTTGCTTGGTGAGATCTTGGCTGCTGAGAGACCCGGTCTTAAAAAGCAATGTGCATGGCACCTGAGGAATAACATTAGAAGCTGACCTCTGGCTTGGCGTCCATTAATGAACACACACACACACACACACACACGTCATGGAGTTTAAGCTCAGCGTACTGTTGCAGAGGCAAGAGAATCTTGAGTTCCAGCCTGGGATATTCAGTAAGATTTTCACTCAAAATAAAACAATATAGTTATAAAATCTCAAAAAGGAAGACACAATGTTTCCCTAGAAGCAGTTCTTCAGGAGAGACGAGCAAAGAGGCATTTTATCTGTGTACCTTCATGGCCATACATCTCTCTAGTAGCTTCCACACAAATAATAGGCCACCTTTTCTCTGCTCACATTCATCTCACCCCGGTCAACGCTGGCACAGAGCTCACCTCTTGGACTGTGCTGGTGCTCACCTGACACATACTTTCTTCCCTTCTCCATATTTTTTCTATCTTTTATACTGGGTATACTTTCTGATTCTCTTATGAAGGGACCTTAATGACATCTCATGCTGTCCCATGCCATAGTATAACCATCCTGTATAACAGTACTAAATACTAAATTATATTCTATGCCAAGAGTTTGGAAACTATGAAAGCCAAACAAATCCTGGCCCACTGCCTGTTTTTGTATGGCCTGCAAGCTAAAAATAATGCTTACATTTTTAAATGATTGGAAAAAAATCAGAAGAAGAGTAATATTTGTGGCATGCTTCAATAATATAAAATTCAAATTTTAGTGACCCCCTCATTGTCCAATAAAATTTAATTGAAGCCCAACCACACCATGCATTTATGAACTGCCTGTAGCTGTGGTGTTACAACAGAGTTGATAGTTACAACGCAGAATATATGGCTCACAGTAACTAAAATATGTACTATCTGGCCCTGCACAGTTGAAACTTGCCAATCTGAGTCTCTGTTCTGCTTTTTCTGCCGATTTTTATCATGCATATGAATCTTGCCTCTCAGATTCACTTGAAATCGACTTGAAGTCAGGCACATTGTCATATGCTTCTTTTGTCTCCCTGGCACCTGACTTCATGTAGGACAGTTATGAATTATTTCTTTAGCAGATTTTGACATGTCAAGTACTGGATTTTAAGAAATGAAGCTGACTTCATAGTGCAGAATGAATTAGAAATAAGTACAATGTCAGCTTATGTGCATTAATTTAAGCTTGAAGGAAGATGCTACAGTATATGGGGGATGTGTTGTTTTAAGACCTGACTACGTGCAGTCCAGATAGGGTGGTAGAGCCAGGAACCTGGAAAAAGGTCTGGTTAGATGACTCAAGACAGAAAGGAGATGATAGGAGATTAAATCTGGCAGGTGAAACCTGGAATCCAGAGGACTCAGCCTCACCCAGCCAGAAAGCAGCAGATAACTGAGTCCAATGAGCCCCTGGGGACAAAGTGGGGGTAGGCAGAGCAACCAGGCGCCTGAAAGCCCACAGGGCAAGCAGTTAGCGCATAGTGACCAGAGAAGTCAGCTGCCTGCAATTAAGAGACAGATTTTAGTGAATGTGGGCTCAGGGAAGAATTCAGAGAATCAAAGTGCAGTAGAAAAGAGTGAACTGTTGTGGGTACCAGAGCTGCGTGTCAGGCTCTGGGCTCAAGCAAGCGGAGAGCCTTGCATGCTGTGTCCTGAGGACCACATTGCTACCTAGCTCCTTCTGCCGAAGACTGGGGTGACAGTGGGGGTGGTCACATAGTCAGTGCCACAGACCTCCAAAAGCAAAGCGGCCCTGAATTACTGGTCATAAATTGCAAAGGGATTGTTGAAGGCCTGCTGAGAAGAGCTGGGGGCACCTCCTTCTGCCCAAGTCGTCAGTGCCGTGAAAGCTAAAGACTAGTGTTAGTTGTTCAAGTAGAAGAGACTTGGCAAAGCCACCCAGATAAGAGAAGGGATGTCCAGTACTGCAGCCAGCACTGCCTCCTCTGCCCGTATGCCCTGCCCTGGAGTTCACCATGCACCCCTGATCTACACACCCGATCGCATGAAGCTTTGTTCTAGTGGTAGGCAAACTCAGTGTGTGCTCAGCTGTTCTTGTCCACAGTTGGTCTACATAGTGGCTAATTATCCCAGCTTCCCCACTGCCCAGGTCGAATAACTCAGAGTGTATTGT